TACTTACGGTGCATACCAGAATGTGCGGTGCCATAGTGAAAGTTTATCTGAAGCCACAAATCTCTCAAGCCTGTCTCCTAGTGAGGCATCTGGAGGTTCATAAAAGTATTTACTGAAGCTGTAAACTTTTAAAACTGTTTGAATCAAATCAGAAATTCCATTCTCAGGAATTAATTCATCTGAACCTCAGTGCATCTTCATAAGGGTCCCATAGGAAGTTTGTTCAATCAGAGCAGGTAAATACCCAGAAACTAACAGTTCACACCATGCCAGATTTTTGAGAGATGCAGAAGCACATGAAGAAGGGGTGTCAGAGACTGGAAACAATTCTGGGGGTGCAACCTGGTACAGACCTTGCAAAATACTGGATTACCTTCCAGAAAGCTCACGTGCCTACTGAACGTCCCCAATTCAATAGCTCTTGGCAAGAGTCCATATCAGAGACAGCCCTAGCAACCCTTACTAGGGAAGCCACATGAAGCCCGAGCTGCCCATAAGCTACATCTGTGTAGGAGGCCTACGTCCAGTCCATGCATGGTCCTTGGTTTTGTGCTTCATTGTCCCTCTGGGCCCTGGATGGACGCTGATGGTCTTCTTGTGGAGCCCCTGTTCCCTCCAGTTCCTTCTATCCTTCTCTCAAGTTTTCCACAAGACTCCCTGTGCTTTGCCCAGTGTTTGGCTGTGAGTTTCAGCATCTGTAGGACACTTGCTCAGTAATATTCATAACAGCTTTATTTGTAATAGCTAGAATCTGGAAACAACCTAGATGTCCCTCAATTGAAGAATGGATTAAAAAAAAAATACTGTGGTGCATTTACACAACAGAATACTACTCAGCTATTAAAAACAAGGAAACCATAAAATTTACAGGCAAATTGATGGAACTAGAAAAGATCATCCTGAGTGAGGTCACCCAGACCCAGAGAGACACACATGGTATGTACTCACTTATAAGCAAATATTAACACACAACAATGCACAGACCCCAAGAAGATAAGTAACAAGGAGGACCCAAGGAAGAATGCTTAAATCTCACTCAGAAGGGAAATAGAATAGACAGTGGAACAGGGTAGGAGATGGAACTCAGGGGGAAATGAGGGTGGAGATCAGACCTGGGGAGAGCAGGGGCAGGAAGACAGAGGACCAACAGAAAAAAGTAACAGTGGGAGGGGCCATCTGTGACAAGCTGGACACCTATGACAGGGTGAGCTTCTGAGAGGACATGGGGGGAACTCTAGCTGAGACTCCTAGTAACAGGGGTCACCCTCTAACTAGACAGGCCTCCTAGTGGAGGGAGGGGAACACCAACCTACCCACAAAAACTTCAACCCAAAATGTACCCTGCCTTACAAGATGTGCAGGGATAAAGATAAAGCAGAGATTGAGGGAATGTTCAACCAATGCCTGGCCCAACCTGAGACCTGACCCACGGGAGAGAGTCAACCCCTGACACTATTAATGATACTCTGCCATGTTTGCAGATAGGAGCCTAGCACAGCTGTCCTCTAAGAGGCTGCACCCAACCGACTGAAACAGATGCTGAGACTCACATTTCTGTGTTTGTTTGTTTGTTTGTTTGTTTGTTTGTTTGTTTGTTTTTTAAAGAAACCAAAGTTACAAAATTCTCACTACGTACCAACATTCATCCCTCTCTGCTTCCCGATTGTGGAGGCAATGAGTCCAGCTGCCCCAAGTTGCTAATACAATGATTTCCCCACCACAAGGGACTGTACCCTCAAACTGTGAGTCAAAAAAAAAAGTTTTTTGTTTAAGTTGCATTTGTAAGGGCATCTTTTCACAGCAAGAGAGCGAGTAATAATCTAGGCAGGTCTCTTTGACCTTGAGGAAGGAGAGAGGCTTTTCGATGACTTGGGAACTGTGTCCATACCACTGTTTCTGAAGTAGGGACTTCATTCCTTTCGTCAAGGGGCGCTCCTTCACTGGTGACAGGATTGTTGATGAATACGAGTGTATAAAGCAGTGTTTTCCAGTAAGACAGGGGGAGCATCCTGGACCAGCTTACTTTGTCAGTTTGAAGTTAGGGAAAGCTAACATCTTAAAATGCTGGTGAGAAGGATGAAGATGTGGAGGGAGCAGTGACAGATGATGAACAGGGGAGAGATGAACTGAGGTGATGGGAGGAGGGAGAGATTCAGAACTCACCTAACACCATCCCCAGACAATCCTCTCTCCTCCACTTCTCACCCAACACCACCTCGGGAACTCCTCTGCTTCCCTAAAATCTCCAGCCTCCTTTCTGGCTCTGCCTCCTGTTACTAATCATCAAGGCAGACAGGGTACTGCCTCTCAGTCCTCCCTCGTCCCTGGCATCACCTTCATCCTACGACCTCACAGGTGGACCCTTTCCCAGACTATCTGTTACCCCCTGAACTTCCAGTCTACACTGGTTCCAGGCTAGGCTATGGAATCAGGGTCTGTGGAGCGAGTGGCCGTGGCACCTCACTAGCTGTTGTTGTTTCTCAACAGTCCCACAATCTCTTTCTGACCCCAGGCCACTAACATCTCTGCTCTGGCTTCATTCACGACCCACCCCCAAATAACATCCACGTTTCGATATCATATCCAGAGTTCTCTCTCTCTCTCTCCTCTGTGTATGCACTTGTGTATGTATATGTGTGTGAGAGAGAGAGAGAGAGAGAGAGAGAGAGTGTGTGTGTGTGTGTGTGTGTGTGTGTGTGTGTGTGGTACATGTGAATGTGCAGGTGTGTGTGGAGGCTAGTGGACAAAGCTGCCAAACCTGGGTGTCATTCCTCAGGCTTTATTCATATATATATATGAATATATATATGAATATATATATATATGTGTGTGTGTGTGTGTATTCATTTTATGTGTAAGAGCATTTTGTCTGCATGCATGTATGTGTACCATGTGGTTCACAGTGCTCTGTCAGAGGTCGGAAGGCGGCATAGGATGCCCTGGAACTGGAGTTACAGACACTGTGAGCCTCCTTGTGGATGCTGAGTGTTGAACCCAGGTCCTCTGCAAGAGCATCAAGTGCTCTTGATGAGTCCTGTATCCAGGTCCCACCCCTGACCCTGCATATTTCTTTAAATATAGGGTCTCTCTCACTGTCCTGGCCAGGCTAGGCTGACTAGCCTGTAAGCTCCAAGGATCTACCTCTCTCTGTCTCTCTAGGGCTGGAAGTACAAGCATGTGCCACCATACCCACCCCCGTATGTTAATAAAACACAGGCTCTAGAGATTGAACTCAAGCCCATGCACTTGCAGGCCAAGCACTCTGCTGCCTGACCTACCTCTGCCACTATCCCAGAGTGATCATTGAATGGAAATGGTACAGTGCCCCCACTATGATTCTTCTTCTCCAACCAACCCATGATACAGCTGAACTTTTCTATCAAGGCACACAGAACTTTTGAGACCTAATTTCAGAGCACATAAAAATCTTACCCAGAGAACCAAGCTCTTTACTGCCAGAAGTCGCAGTAGAACAAATGGTATCTCAAAGTGCTCAGAGTCAGGGGCAGGGCCAGAGCACATAGTCATATGATGGTCAGCAGAAAGCATCACGACTGTCCCTTAGCCACTACGCAAAGGGACCGATAACCAGAAAGGACTGGAAGTGGGACTTGGCTTCGTCAGGCTGTACCTGCTCCTCCTCTCTAACTCCAGCCCTTACTGTGACGTCACCAGGCCAGGCTCTGCCATGCATTTGTGATGCCCAACTGTGGCAGCTGCTGGTGCTGGTGCCCAGCAAGGCGGGCAGGACGGTCAAGGCGGGCAACGCTGGGCTGGAATGACAACACGATGCTCCAACTTTTAATTGCCCTACTCATGGCATCCAAGGGACATGCCCAGGACCACCAAGGTTAGTGTCAGGCCAGCCCAGAATAAAAGGTGGGGGAAAGCCTGCCACCTCATCCCTGGATGCCCTGGAACAGAGGGGGAGCTCCAGAAGGGTGCAGAATCAGAGGTTTTTAACCCAAATCCAGAGAACATAAAATCTCACCCAGAGACCCAAAGCTCTTTACTGCCAGGGTGGCAGTAGGTGGAGTTTGGCTTATGAAACGAGGAGACCATAACCAAATAATCAGTGCAGGCGTACTGGGCTGGATGAAATTGCTCTCTACTGCGAACCTCTGAGGATCAGGGCCCAGATTCTAGAAGCACAGCAGACTTGTGGCAAGATCAATAACTGGCTATGTTGTTCTCACTCCACTCCCTCTCTGTAAACGAACAGAGGATCTTTCTAGGCCCAGACCCTGAAAGAGGCAGCAGAAAGGTGTGGGGTAAAATAAAAATGTCTTCAATTTAGAAAACATTGGGCTACATGGCTGTAAGAAGTCAGTTCATGTAATATTTGCTCTGCGGTCCTGGAATACACCCCATCAGGAAAGTTCTGTGGGTAGACCAGATGTGCAAATGTTTGCTACTCTTCCCACAGAATTACAGCAGGTGTCCCCCACAAAAGGATGCCAAATTTTATTATGGTTCACAAAGTGGCTTTGCTGTATTGCATCTTCACTATCTCTCTCTCTCTCTCTTTCCCTCTCGTGTGTGTGTGTGTGTGTGCGCGCGCGCGCGCGCACATGTACGTGTGTACTCTTTTTTCTCAGTCACTCACAGCTATTTACAATTTTATCAAGCAACAGCATTAACCGGTAAATTCTGTTGCTTTTCACACCATTGCTCTTCCAACACCCTTTAAGAAACATATAGTATGTTTTTATGATTCTGTGGCAGGTCCATTTTTGTTAATTTGCATTTCCCTGCGCTGGCCATTTTCAGTTTGGAAGTATTCTCTCAGATCTGTCCTGTGGGCCCTCTCATTCAGTTTTCTTCAGATGCCACCTGATCTTAGCTGGGAAGGTTCTGGGAATGCAGAGTGAGGATTTCTCTGGGCCCTTTGCATACCAATGGCTCCTTGCTTTCTCTCTCAAAATCAGTTCTGTGTGGCCACAGACCTGCCTTCCCAAACTCATCATGGTTGCCGTTCCGGGAGCTGCTTGAAGTCCAGAATGGTGAGTTCCCGTGGCAAGTGAGTATCCAGATGCTTGGGAAACACCTGTGTGGAGGCGCCATCATCCATCAGTGGTGGGTTCTGACAGCAGCACATTGCTTCCCAAGAACCCTGTAAGTGTCTGGGGCATCACCTTCATTTACACTGCATCTAGTACACATGCGGTCTGGGACAGTCACTCGTTGGTTGGTATATGAAGCTTTTGAAGTCATAGGCTCTGTGCCCAGTGGCTTTGGACTGAAGTTTGTTCCTATCTAGTTGTCCCTCTTGGCTTAGTCAACTGTATCTAAAGTTCTCTGCTTCTTGTAGTGTTGAAAAAAAAAAAAACAGTGTAGGCTTCCTTTTTCCTGTCCACCACCTGTATATAAAGACACTGCATTAGATTCATTCATTCATTGTGCATTCATTGAGCAACTACTGGGTACTTTTTCAAGTGCTAGGGATGTAGCAGTCGATAAGATAGCCAAGGTTCCTGTCACCAAGTTGTTCACATCTTCTTTTCTCAGTGGGTACATTAAACTTCTGTTGGTCAGAGCTTCCCCTGAGCTGATGGTTCACTCACTCAGAGATCCACCTAGGTCTGGGCCCTGATTCTGACCTTCCTGGCCTCTCTAGGCTCCCACAGCATACCCACTCTGCTATACTATTTAGTGGTAAGATCTACTGCCTGTAAATGTGCAGATGTAACGTGCCTCCCCAACCATTATCAGCTGTGGTGCTCTTGTATTCATTCCTCAGGTTAGAAGTTGTAGCAGTAAACATCACTGTGGTCATGGGAGCCAAGACTTTCAGCGACATCAACTTGGAGAGAAAACAAGTGCAGAAGATCATTGTCCACAAAGATTATAAGCCACCCCTCTTTGACAGTGACCTCTGCCTACTCCTGCTTGCCACGCCAGTCCAATTCAATAAGGTCAAAATTCCTGTCTGCCTGCCACACAAGGAGAGCTCCTGGGACCGGTGCTGGATGGCAGAGTGGGCATCTACTCATGGCCATGGTATGCACCTGGCCTTCATGCCAGTATGAAGCTCACATGTAGGCTGACTTCTGCTGAGCAAAATGATGGTTTAGGTGGGGGGAACTCAGTTTTGAATCTGAGGCATCATCCATAGTCTTCTTTTTATCACCTTCTCCCATCCACAGAGTAAGAGCAATGCCTCCCTCGCCTAAGCCATGTAGATAAGATGGATGAAATCACGTAGACAAAGTCCCCTGTAAACACACGGGGCAGAACCTGAGAACAATGGTCATCTTTATGGATTCCGTAAAAAAAAAAGTTCATCTCACTCTTCTGTTAGCTTCACACATAGTCCACCATTTGCTGATATAGGCATCATTTGGTGGTGTCCCTGGAGCAGTGGGCACCGTGACTCCACTCCTTTTCCTGCAGAGAACCGGGCTGGTCACCCATGGAAGGCTCCTGGGTCGGGTTGAGGGGAGAATGTACAGAAAGAAAGCCACGGTTTCCTTTAGCACTGTGGTTATCTCCCCTTCCTCAAGACGGCATATCCAGATGTGTCCTCTCTTCCAAGTGTTTCCATTTGGCTTGCCAAAGACAAGCTGTGGGCCACTGTTACCAAAGCACTTTGGCTGCTCCAAACTTCAACACAAGGACAAAAGACAGCTTTGGAGAAAAGTTGGGGCCACAAATTAATGTGTCTATAGTGTAAGGGACTGGATTGCTTCTGGAGAGAGCCTCGGTCCTCTAGGCAGAAGGACTACTTGTTGGGATACCTAGATGACACAGGGTGGGGTCTTGCACTACAAAGGAACCCGTGAATCATCAGAATTCCGCTCTGATGTGTATAGGCCTGTCACTGTCAATGGCCAATGCATGCTCATCCTCAGGCTAGCTTCCCTACTTTGCTAGGCTCGACTAAAGTCTTAAACATGCACCTGAAGAAGCTGAGGGTGGTTCAGATTAAGTGGAGAGCATGCGCCAAGAGGGTGAGTCAACTCTCCAGGAACATGCTCTGTGCCTGGAAGGAGGCAAGCACCAACGGCCAGTGCCAGGTACTCAGCCCCTCCCTTCTCCCCACCCCCACTCCCTTATGTTCCCAGAAGTCCAGGAGGGAGGCCCTTGCTCACACCACTAGCCACCTCTTCATATCCTCTTGCTGAGTAGCTCCAGCGGCTTCTCACACATAGCACTTCTTGCATTTCTTATTTTCAGGGTGACAGCGGGGCACCCATGGTCTGCGCTAACTTCTCGACTCGGAGGCTCTTTCAAGTGGGTGTCTTCAGCTGGGGCGTAACCTCGGGCTTCAGAGGAAGGCCCGGTGTGTTTGTGTCTGTGGCTCGGTTTATCCCATGGATCCTGGAGGAGACACAAAAGGAGGGCAGATCTCTCACTCTCTCAAAAGCCTCCAAAAGCTCCTTGGCTTGCGTTCCACGTTACACCATATTGCTAAGCTTGGGGTCTCAAATACTGGTTCTGTCATGTTTGCTGGGGGATAAATCAAATTGCTAAGCTCTGACCCTTTTCCTGTTTGCCCAGTCTGTTCTCACCCATCCTCACACACAGGCATCTGATGAATGCTGACCGTTGGTCTCTCCATCATTTGAGTGAGCCACAGATTTAGTTCCTCAACTCCATGCTGAAAGAGGTGCCGTCGGTGTTGGGGGTACGTTACCCAGAGCAAAACATCATATCCCCTCAAAGCAGGGTCGGGAGGGTGTGATTCGGGAAATCTTTGAAAATGTCCCATGGGACGTCACCCTATCCTTCCCTGTCTGTGAAGGAGGCTGCACATACATTGTGAGTCTTTCCCCACTCTGTCATTCCGACTTGCTTCTTTCTTTCTTGAAACTCATGCCCAGCCATCCACCAGCCTTGGTTCTGTCAGTCCAGCACCTAACCTAGGCCTGGACCCAGGGAGCTCCTAACCCTAGGCTGCCCGCAGATGCCTCCCAAGTCCCGCACATGCGCGAAGACCTCTCTGTATGTAGCAGGTGGGGTCAGAGATGTCTGGTCCGATTTGAAGCTAAAAGTGGGAGATTATAACTCAGGACTTGGAGACCACACCTTTCCTTCTCTTTCTTAACTTAGTAAAGCAAAATACTTCCTGATAACACATTGTTCCAGAAGCATTGAGGTCTACCTACCTCTCCTTCCACGTGGAGCCTGAGTCTATCCGGTGACCAAAGGCACCCATCATGTGTGAGAGTGGATGGAATGAATCCAAGGACAGCATGCTCTTCCTTTAGAGATGACTAACAGTCACACAAAGGGTAAGGGTTTGAACTTAGAAAACCACAAGGCCGTAAGACCCGTGCTAAACCATGCATCCAGGGACGAATGGTGCTTACATCTCTAGGTATTTCCTAGGTCAGGTCTAAATGGAATAGATTTAAAGGAGGCAACCAATTATACAGACATAGGGGTTTATTTTTCTCATTCATTCATCTGGATACTTTGTGAATGGTATGCATAGTAAGAACACAGAAAAATACAAAGATATGGAAGGCTCATGTCTTCAAATGTGTATGCTAAGTCTAAATTCATGTATTGTACATCACGTCACAGGGTCTTCTCAGTACTTGATTTCATTATACAAACATGTATATGTACACACACATATGTATATATGTGTGTGTGCTTCATTCTATCTTATATTGTCCATCCATTTTTTAATAACTGTGGGGAATGGGTAGTCTAACATCTGTTGAAGGGGCACTGGACCATGACAGGGATCATATGGTACTTTATAACTTACACTAAGAGCTATGTCCCAGTTTGTGGTCTAGTACACACTCATATAAACACCTTGAACTAACAATTCACAAAGCAATACACACACACACACCCCGCCACCAATTCTGGGTAAGCAAGAACTAGATACACATGACCAAGGCAAACTGCAGCTATATCTTCATAGATACGTCTTCTGAAGGTTGGGGTGCTCCTTTGTGGTTACACATCTTTGAAGTGGCAGTTAGGGTGTGTCCTCATAAGGAACCAGGGTGCCAGGGCACTTTCCCAGTTGCCACATGTGTACACTAAGGAAAGATATGTGACCTCAAAAAGCCTTAGCTTTGCTATGTCATTTTCATTGTGGTTAACCCCCTATGGACATTTCAAGAGGATCATGAGGGGAGAAAAGTACCCTAAAAGGGAGATTTGGTCCACCATAATTTCAGAGGGAGAAAGGGTCACCATAGCTCATGAATGTACCAAGCACCTCTACATATTCATATTCACAATGAAGAACTCACTATGCTATACCCTGCTCTGGAACAGCCCACTCCAATTTATCCTTGCTATGACAAATAAATTTGTTTTAAATCATTTGTGCCTCCTGACTGAATTCTTTCCTTTGAGAAGACAGGAACTCGGAAATTCCACCCACAGCAGTAAATTATCCCAGCTCACTAACTAGCATCAAGATCTAAGGGTGGGGTGTGTAATGGGAATCACTATTTGGGAGAACTTGATGGCAGTAAATCCTACCCTTCACACCACGTCTAAGGAAGCTTCTGAAGCTTAATCTCCCAGGACTGGGAGTCCATCTCTGGGTTCTCAGATCAACCCACTGTCTGGCATTCTTCTCGGGTTTGTTAGAGAAAACAAAAGAGAATGCTGATGGAGTAAGGTGGGCCATAGAAAATATTTGGCCAATCATTTCAGAAATGCCTGCGAATAAAAGGTTAAGGGAGAGCAGAGTCCATAAGACAAGGAAATGAAAACTCTGATAATCAAAAGCAGTCAGTCTGATATATATATATAATAGATAAGACTCTTTGGGGACCAGCTGTAGAAGCTTTTCTGGATCTTTGATTATAACTACATTAAAAATTTTAAATTCCAAGATGTTGGGGGGGGTTGCTGTTTTGGGTTGTTTTGTTTTCTGTTGGCTTTTTTTTTTTTTAACTTTACATTGAATTCAGCAATTACAACCCTGTGGTTATCTCTTCCATCAGAGCATCCTATTGCAAAAGCCACTTGGTTCCCTTTCCTAGTAACTGAGCTCAAGAATGACAGGTGATAAATTGACTAGCACGGCCAGCCAAAGACTCCCACATTCCTTTTCTCACTAGCAATGAGGTCATTCTTGCCTTCAAACAAGTCAGGCCAAAAACATACCTAAGAGTCCCATTTTTTTCCTCAATTTTTTTTTATTTTTTGGTATTCACTTTACATTCTTGTTGTAGCCCCATTCCTCCTCCCTTTCCCATCCCACCCTTCCTCCCTCCTCTCTCCCCTCCCCTTTTAGGGGAGCTCCCTTTCCCAACCAGCCCATCTCATCAAGTTGCATCAGGACTGAGCATGTCCTCTTCCCCTGTGGCCTGGCAAGGCAGTCCTGCCAGGGGGAAATGATCAAAGAAATGGTAAGTGAGTCTGTGTCCAATGCAGTCCCCACTTCCCTTAGTAGAGGACCCATATGAGGCCTAAGCTGCCCATCTTTGTAGAGGTTGTAGGTCCAGTTCACACAATGTCCTTGGTTGGTACTTCAGTCTCAGCAAACTTCAACCTTGGTTAGTTGGCTCTGTTGGTCTTCTTGTGGAGCTCCTGTCACCTCCAGGTTGTTTTCTCTTTCCTCCCACTTTTCCACAAGACTCCCTACCCATCACCCAATGTTCAGCATCTGTTTTGAGGTGCTGCTGGGTAGTGACTCTCAGAGGACAACTCTGTCAGGCTTCTGTCTGCAAGTTTAACAGAGAATCATTCATAGTCAGGGGTTGGCATTCTTTGATAGGGTGGTCCTCAGGTTGAGCCAGACATTGGTTAGGCATTCCCTCAATCTTTTCTCTATTTTTATCCCTGCATATCTTGTAGGCAGGGTAAATTTTGGGTCAAAGTTTTTGTGGGTGGGTTGGTGTTCCCCTCCCTCTGCTAGGGGAATAGTCTAGTTAGTGGGTATCCTCAGTTTCTGTGGTCTCTGCTACTAGGAGTCTCTGCTTGAGTCCCCCTCATATCCTCCAAGGAGCCTACCTTGACTTAGGTCTCCAGCTTATCACAGAGATACCCCCAACCTCTCACCCTTGCTCTCCGCAGGTCTGATCTCCACCCTCTTATCTCTCTGTGCTTCCTCTCCTAATTTGTTCCTCTCTCTTCATCCACTACCTCTGTCTATTCTAGCTCCCCTTCTGAGTGAGATTTAAGCATCCTCCCTTGGATCCTCTATGTTACTTATCTTCTTTGAGTCTGTGCCTTGTAGCCTGTTTACCCTATACTATATGGCTATAAGCTACTTATAAGTGAGTGTATATGTTTGTCTTTCTGAGTTCTGGGTGACCTCACTCAGGATGATCTTTTCTAGTTCCATCCATTTGTCTGCAAATTTCATGATTTGTCTTTAATAGCTGAGTATTATTCCATTGTGTGAATGTGCCGCAGTTTCTTTACCCATTCTTCAGTTGAGGGATATCTAAGTTGTTTCCAGATTCTGGATATTGTGAATAAAGCTCCTATGAATGTAGTTGAGCAAGTGCCCTTGTTGTATGGTAGAGCTTCTTTTGGGTATACACCCAGGAATGGTATACAGCCAGGTCTTGAGGTAAAGCTACTACTAATTTTCTGAGAAAGCACCAGATTGATTTCCAAAAAGGTTGTACAAGTTTACACTCCCAGTAGCAATGGAGGAGTGTTCCCCTTTCTCCACACCCTTGCCAGCATGTGCTGTAGCTTGAGAATTTGATCTTAGCCATTCTGACTGGTGTGAGATGGAATATGAGTCATTTTGATTTGCATTTTCCTGATGACTCAGGAAGTGGCATTTTCTAGAATTTTCAGTGGCAAATTCTGTATTGGTTAGAAATGTGTCAAGGAGCAGAAAGCGCCCCATGGACCTCAGGCAGAAAGGGATGTAGGGCATGGAAGTGAAGACTTGGGACACATTGAAAGGCTGCATGCAGAGGTCAGGAGAAGGGGTAGTGGCTCCCTGCTTGAGCTTGGCCAATTACAGAAAGTCAGAAGAACACGCTCCTAATGCTCTCCTAATTGTCCTCAGTAATGGGGAGGATTGATAGGAGGCCTGGCAGGGATCCTGGACTGGGTAAGTAGAGAAGGGGCTGAGCAACAGCATGCATTCATCACTCTTTGTTCAAAACTGTAGATGACAATGACCAACTCTTGCTGCTGTGATTTCCATGATAGTTTGTACCCTTAAACTAGGATCCAGAACAAACACTTTCTCCTTTAAATTGCTTTTGTTAGTATTGTATCGCAGAAACAGGAAAGGAGACTAAGGCCTGTCCAACCTTCTGCCTCCTCATAAAAGCATCCTGGGCATCTGAGAAATATAGCTTGTATGTGCCCAGTGGCTAGTATCTCTGAGCTGGCATGGCAGAGAGTTAAGATGCAGTCTCTGGTGTGGGGACTGACTATCTGGCAAAAAGTTGCCAGGAGGGGTGAAGCTAACCGTCCTAAGTCCCGATCACAGTGCACTGCGTCTGATGATGCCTAAGCACAGGTAGCATGTTGTCCTTCCTAGTCCTGGAATCAGCATGGCACATGTCAGTCAAGTCACC